AGCCCCAGTGTCGCAGGGGGGCTCCCGTCACCCACGGCAGCACCGGGACATGGTCTCACCTTCCCAGCGGGATGTGGGGGGGATCCTTGGGGACCTGGGGGGGATCCTGCCCTCAGATGTCACTGTCTTTAGAGAAGAGCTGGCTCTGGGAGGGATTGCAACGGTGAGAAAAGGGGTCCTAAGGGGGACCCTGTCTGGGGCAGCAGCACCTCACCTAGCACTGAGCAGCGACACGGATGGGGGGGACAGGGTTTAAACCCATTATAACTAGGCTGCAGCAGCCCCCACAGCCCTGGGGGTGGCTGTGCGGTGTCAGTGGGACACCCCCCCCGTGCCCCGCAAACAGTGACAGTGCCTCGGAGCAACTGCAGAGGAGGAGGGTGCAGCTAAAAATAGAGGTGGGCAGCGAAAGGCTCCCGCTGGGGATTTATTTATCACCCGCTTGCTAATTCCTGCTTGGGAATTGCGGGCCCGGGCAGGGAGGGGCAGGAATTTGGGGGAGCAGCGGGTGCCATGGCCATGGAACAGCTGCCATGCTGGGGGGAACCAGGGACTCCCCCGCACTATGGCACAGGGGCTCACGGCACAGCCTCAGGGCTCCCCACTGCCAGCACGGACTTTGTGGGTGCACAAAGTGCACCAGACCCCTCGCAGCCCTCCCTTCGTCCTCCCAAACCTCCCGCAGTGGCCCCAGTTCCCGCTGCCACCAAGCCCTGGCCATATGTCCCAGGCTGCAGAGCATCTGCCGGTGCCAGCAGGAGCCCCCGGCCCCCGCAAACCCGCTGGCATGGGGCTGGATGAGGGGTGAGCACCACTGCTGCAATGAGGGCAATGAGGCTGACCATGGTTTTGGGACCATCTGAGCCCCTTTGGGCTGGCAGAAGCACCGCCATAAGGCCCCTAAGCTTAGGATAGCACAGCCAAGCCCTTGCCACCGTGGGACCCCCTGTCCACCAGCAGCCAGGGCACCCCCATCCCTCCATGTCCACCCTGGTGCATCAGGGTGGGTGCGAAGGGGCAGAGCCCTGTACCAGGGATGCCAACACATGATCTGGCCCATTCCCACTCACGGGGTTGTGGGAGGCATTGGTCTGTGGGTTCCATGGCACAAGGGGAGCCGCATAGGATGGCACATAGGGACACGTGGGGACACCCAAAGCTCCCATCCCCACGCAGGGGAATCCCCGGCTTTTCCTGGGGTCTCCCTGCTATAAAACCTCCCTGGAGCCCTACCGGGACGCCGTGGGGCTGGATTGGGCCATGGAGGGACGGCACCGTAGCACCTGTGTCCCCAGGGCCTCCCCAGTCCCCTCTTAGCACAAGGGGAACCCCGTCCCCAGCCCTCCCACCGCAGGATGGGGAAGCGCCGTGGGGACACCCTACCTGTGCGGGTGCCTGCGGGGTGCGGAGCGGGGGGAGTCCAGGATCCCCACTTCCCCCTTTCGGCTGCCACCGCGCCAGCGTCCCCAGACAAAGCCTCCGCTCCGGGCTCTCCTGCCGCCGCCCCCCACCGCCGCTCGGCTCCAGCCAAGGACAAAGCCGCTTCGCCTGACTGCCCCCGCTGGGTCACCCAGGACCCCCCCCGCGGGCAGCCAATTGGGGGACACGGGAGTCCCCGCACCGCTATGGGGTAGGGGGGGCTCCCCTAAACCTCGCAGGCCCCTGTGGAGAGCCCCACGACCGCGCTGCGGGGCAGGGGGTCCCCGACACTGAGGCGGGGTCCCCGCAGTCTCCAACCCTGCGCAGGGACCCCAAGGTCACGGGGAAGGGCAGGAGGGCCCAGCGCACCCAACCGCCTGACGGCTGCACCGTGGCACGTCGAGGCCATGAGCGCCCGGTGCTGCCAGACCCTGCCGGCAGCCCCCAGTACCAGCCCCGGGCTCGGCCCCGCCATGGCCTCAGGTCCCGCCAGCACCGGTGCCACACTGCGTGCCAGTGGCACACCGGAGAGAGCGAGGAACAGGGGGCTCTGTGGTTGTGGTGGGTGCTGAGCTGGGTGCTGGCTCCCCCAGGCCTGTCCCTAGGGCCATAGCTCACCGGTGCGGTGCCGGCAGCCAAACCCTGTCACCAGTGAGAACCAAGAGCCCCCAGTTCTCTCAACCAGTTTGGCCGTGCTCCCCTTCACAGCCTCATGGCTTCAATTCCTGTGGCCACACTGTCCCCAAGGACAAAGACCCCAAAATCCCTTGACTCCAGCAGCAGGGGATTGCCCAAAGCAAAGCCTGGCCCCGCTTTGGGGACCCACACCCGGAGGAAGCCATCACCGAGGTCCCCACCAGTGCTGCCCACAAGGTTCCCACCGTTGCCATCCTTGGGGTTCCCCACCGCTGCCCTCACCACCCCCCCCTTCCCTGCTCACTTGCCGCGGCCCCGTGCTCTGGGGGGCGCCGGGACGAGCCGGGGGACCGGGTGAGGGCTGCGGGTACACGGTGGGGCCGCGGCCGCCGGAGCGTGGTGGCGATGGCAGCCGAGCTTCGGCGCGTGTGGAAGCCGCGGCGCGGGGGGGGTGGTGGTGGGGGAGAACCGGGGGTGCTTCCCCGCCCCCCCCCCCGGGCCCCCCCCCGCACAGCGGGCACTGACCTTGGGGCCGCGGCGCCGGCGGAGGACGGGGGGAGCACGGTATTTTTAGCCGGGTACGGTCACTCCCATCGTGTCCCCATTGTGGCCGCCGCGGGCTGCCCCAACCCCCCCCGGCTCCCCGGGCGCAGCTCTGAGGGGCTGAGTAGGTCCCCTCTGGTCCCGCACCCCCAGAGCCTCGGGATGCCCTAGGGGTCCCTTCCTCAAGGAGCCACAGTGCATCCTCCTCTGCCCCTCAGCATCCCCACTGCACTGGGGGGAGGGTTCCACACGAGCTGAGGGGATCCCCATGATCCAGGGAATCCCCAGGAATCAGGGGGATCCCCAGGAGGGAGAGGAGATCCTAGGAATCAGGGGGATCCTCGAGGGGGGGAATCCCCAAGAGTTAGGGGTGTCGCCAGCACCAGCAGCTCTCCAGGGGCTATGGGGGGTTTTCCAGAAGCTGGGAGGATCCCCCGGAGCCTGGGGGTATGCTAGGAATCAGGAGGAACCTCAGGAGCTGGGGGGATCCCAGGAGCTATGGGGGGCGGGTTCCCCCAACCCACCATTAACGCCGGCCCCCCCATCCCAAAGCACCCACCTGCAGACAGACCCCGGCCTCTGCTGCCCCCGGGCGCTGCCGCCGGTGACCATGGCCTGGCGTCGGTGGAGAGCCCGGTGCGCCGGGAGGTTCCGCCGGCGGCGCGGGATGAGCCGGGGGCCGGGGGCGCCTCGGGTCCCGCCTGGCCCCACGCGGCTGCTCCGTGCCTCGGTTTCCCCAGCGCGGGAAGTGCCGGGGCGGGTGCGGCGGCGGCGCCGGTGCTGCTGTGGCTCGGCTCGGCTCGGCTCGGCTCGGCTCACCCCGCGCAGCCGCGCACGCCGGCAGCCCCGCTATTGTCTGCAGCTAAATATAACCCGCCCGGGCTCCCCCGCTGCAAGCACCCACGGCACCGCCACCACCAGCACCATCCACCCGCGGTGCCCCCGGCTGCACCCGAAGCAGCCCGTTGTGAGCAGGGCCCAGCGCCCCCATCCCGCGGCACCACGGTGGGGAACTGGGGTCCCCCTTCCAGCAGGGCCCCGGCTCCATGTGCATCAACCGCACGGTGCAGCGGGGAGGGCGGTGAGCGTGGTGAGCGTTCCCAGCGGCCCTGCACAGGGAGGGACGGGTGAGGCTGCTGAGTTGTGAACAAAGCCCCGGGGGGGGGGGGGTACAAGGGGGTGTGAATAAAGGGGGTGCGCACGAGGGGTGCTTTGTGCAGGGGGAAACACACGCGCGTGCACGTGCAGCTCCGTGTGCGTGTGCAGGGGTTGCACACGCAGCCTCGTGCCGGCTGCTGCAGTGCGGGGGGGGGGGGGGCCATGGTGCAGAGAGCGATTGTGTGCGGGGAGGGGCTGCGGGGGAGGGGGATGCCCGGTGGGGGTGGGGGTGTTCCCTGCACGGCGCTGCGGGGATCCCAGCGCCTCGTGACCGCCTCCCCCCATCCCGGATTCCCCGCCCCCTCAGCCCGTTGCCATGGCAGCAGAAGGACCGGGGGGGAGGGGAATCCCCGGAGGGGCGGGGAAACCCCCCCCCCCCAGGAACTCCTTTGCGAAGGGGGTGCCCCTGCAGTGTGTGTGTGTGCAGGGGGTCCCTCATTAACCCCTTCCTGCACCGGGGATCCCCCACCACATTCCCTCTTTACAATGGGGGGGGGGTGTGTCCCGATCTCCCCCATCAATGGATTCCCCGCATTCATCCCTTCTTTGCACCTAGGAAACCCCCACCCTGCACTGGAGCAGCTCCCGTTCCCTAGCATGGGGGATCCCTTCCCTGAACTGGGGAGGGGCAGCCCTCCATTAATTCCCCCACCACCCAGCAAAGCAGGGGGAGATCACTGCATCATGGGGTGATCCCCTATATCATGAGGGGGATCCCCTATGTCACAGAGTGGGGGTTGCCCTCCCCAGGTGCTGCTATGGGGGCTCAGCCTCCAACACCCCAAGGCTATGGGGGGGCCCCCTCTGTGCCGCAGCCCCCCCGGGGGAGCAGCACCGCGCTGCCGCAGTGCCAGGGAGGAGGAGGGGAAGGAGGGTGGGCTCTGCTGCACAAAGCCAGAGCTGCGCAGGAGCTGGAGGCCCCTGCGCCACGGGGGTAACGGGTGAGGGCAGGGAGGGGGGGATCCCCGGACCCCCCCCTCGGTGAGGGGGAACACTGCAGCCTGGGGGGCAGGTCAGGGGAAACACTTGTGCATCCTTGGTTCACCACCGAGGGGCTGGGGGGGGTTCACCTTCACTACTACAGTTGAGTAAGACACACACCCCCTCTGCTGGGGGGGGGGCACAAAGGGGGTCCCCCCCCCCAAATCCCTAATCCAGGCAGGAATTAACTCCAGGAGGATTTTCAGCTACCATTTAAGGGAAGGCCCCCCCCCCCCCCCCTTTTCCTCAACAAGTGCAGAGGGTTGGGATTTATTGTTTTTAATGGGGTTCAAACACAACAAACTCCTCACAGAATGGGGGTGGGGGGGGAAGGGGCACTGGGCACCTTCCTTCCTGCATTTACCTGGGGGGGAACATACACCCTGGCCCAGCTGCCCCCTCAGCAGGGTGCAAGAGAGCCCCAAAACAGCCACTGCTGCTGCTCCTCGACCCACCCAAGTGCAAATGCTGCTGCTGCTGCCTCCAGGGCTCCAGCATCTCTCAGGAGCAACCCCGTGCAGGAATAGGGGCCACTCAGTGCCCGGGATGAGCCCTGGTGGTGCCACACCATGGGAAGGAGTGCCAGCGGGATGCTGAGCCAGCCCTGGCGTTGGCATTCCCTGCTGATCTACACAGGTAAAGCACCAACAGCAACAGGCACGGGTTTTAGGTCCCAGGAAGGAGTTTCGTTCCCAAAGGAGACCAGAAGAGATGTGAGAAGGGAAGAGAGGAAATCCCAGTGCTTGGTCATGGAGAGGAGCTCACCTGTTTCTTCTCCTGGAGCACTGGCACAGGCAGGTTCATGCCCTTGGTGCAGCAGTGGCTGAGCCAACATTCCCAATATCCTTCCACAGGCTCCTGCCCGAGCCTGGGAGCAGTCAGGGGAAGCAGTGATAGGAGAAGCAGCAGCTTCCCTGCTGGAGACAGGCAGCTCATTCGTTGTGCAGGGTCACAGCCCCTCCAGGAGCTCCTGTCCCCCCAGCAACGTGTGAGGCTCTGGGAAAGGCCCCCAGGGAGGTGACAAGAGAGAAGTGTGACACCAGTGTCCTGCAGGGATTGCGCTGTGCTGGGGGATTTCTCCTCTTCCTCCTCGAAGGTGTAAGGTTGTTTTCCCTCTTCCCCTGTAACTCTTTGCTGATGGAGCTTCTGCTCCCGTTGTGGTTCCTCCTCCCCATCTAACTCCAGCTGAGACCCAGAGGTGGCTGGCAGCAAGCAATGCCAACAGCAATCCCAGTCTGGAATCAATGTGGGGACATCCCAGCACCCAAGATGACACAAGCAACAGCGGGCAGGTGCCTTCCTCATGGTGCTTGCAAGAAATACTCACCCTGCAGAGGATGAGGACGCAGAGTTGGGGTGATGCAGTTTGGGTGAAGTCCAGCCTGGAAAAGGTTGCTGGGGGGTCCCCACCTTGGCAGGAAGCAGCGCTGAGGCTGCACCCTGGGAGCACTGAAGGGCTGGAAGCGAGTCAGTAGCTTGGTTTTGTTGTAACAAGTGGCTTAGGGGACAGGAGGCTGGCAGTGGTGTGTCCTGGTCATGCTGCACCAGCACGCCCAGGGGGACAGGACCATGCAGGGTCCTGAGCTGTGGCCTTGTGCCTATCTTAAATCCAAGAACAGACAGAAACTGGGGTAGGGAAAAGGAAACAAAAGGAGAGGGGGTTCCTCATGTCTCCTGTTCTCCTGGGAGCAGAGCCCTGAGGGCTCCAGCCCACTCTCCATGGGGGGTGGTGTGTGTGATTGCTCAGCTCTAGTTCTACTTCTGGCTGTTGTAAGCCTTGTGCCGCTGGTTCATGGGGTTCTCTGGAGACTTCATCCACTCCTTCTTGAGGAGCTGCTTGAGCTGGGACAGGCGCATGTTGGGGTTCTCCTGCTTCAGGCGTGGCAGGTTGAGCTCCTCAAAGGCCGTGAAGGCGGCTTTCATCCGGCGCTCCGGGTGCCGATCCAGGTCATTGGCAACGCTGCCAGGAGGGAATTCACAGGGAGCCACATGTCAGAGCCACCTCCAGCAGCATCACTAAACCCCTGTCAGCACAACCAAGTGCCTACAGAGTAACTCGGGTGATAAAGCAGGAAGCCCTGTGATACTCCTCCCACCACTTCAAATGCTCTCCAAAGAACAACAGGCCAAGGGACAGGTCCTGTTCTTGCTGTTGAGATAGGAACTGACAATCAGAGCATAAAGAGCCAGTTCTGGGGGAGGATCTGCAAGAATTTCTCTGAAGGGAAGCAACACCTTCAAAGGAGAGAACTGCTGCAATAGAGCCACGTACCTGAGGACAGCAATGGCATCTTCAATCGTTCTGGCCTCCACTGATCCTTCCTCCAGTACCCTTCTGTTGACGTTCTCTTCCAAGGGGACCTCCAAGTGAGTCTTCTCCTTCTCCACTGCACGGGGGGGGATGAAATGAGAGCTGTGAATGTCAAATCCAGCCTGTGCAACACCCTCCTAAGGTTTTCCAAAGCACCCTGAGGAAACCCAGGCAGAGCTCAGTCTCAGTCCTCTACAGCTCTGTTCCTCCACCTCAAGGTGACAGGAGGTTTCTTCTTCCCCCCCATCTGATCGTTAGACACAGCAAAGCATGCAGCACACAACAGCTACAGGCAGCTCTTGCTTTCCAAACACCTTGCCCATCAGCAAGGGCACGTGCAGAAGGAAGAGCCCCCTTCCCACTCCCAGTCCCCCGTGGCCGTCAGGGCCTTTCTGTGGTAACACCAAACCTGTCTCTGCGTTCTCCTTCTGCTGCTGGTCTTTCCTGATTGTCTCCTCGATCTGGGCCCTGGTGACTTTGCCTGGAGTGACCTGCTTGGGTGACTTCCCCTTCAGCTTTGAGTCTTCCTCCTCCAGCAGACGCTGCAGCTCCTTCTTGCGCTCCAGCTGCTCCAGGCGCCGCTTCTCCCGCTCTTCCTGAAGGGAGAAAGGATCAGCTCACTTCCACCCTTACAGCTCCATAGGGTGGAGGGATCCAACTAGCCCTTACAGGAGAAGGGTACCCTGCTAGAGCAGGAACAGGCACCTCACTTCTGTAGCTAATGCAGCACTGACCTCCTGCCACAGGGGATGTTGGCTGGTTCCCCCCAGTGAGACAGTGATAGCCGGACCCTTTGCGTAATCATTCTCTGCCCTATGTGCACTCACACACGGGCTCCTTGGGATGGCAGGGCTGTGAAATGCAACTCTGATGACAATCACATTAAGTTCTCCACTTCAAGAAGTGGTCAGAGGTTGAAAGTTCAGCAGTTGTTTGAGAAAAGCCAGTCAAGAGGCTGAATTAATCCTCAGGTCTGGCTCAGGGCAAGCAGGGAGACCAAATCCTACAAGCAGTGCAGCTTCAAGTGCTCCACAAGGAGGTTAAGAGCCACTTTGCCCTCCAAGGCCCAGGGAAGAGGCTGGCAAGACCATGCAATAAACCCTTAAGGGCTTTCAGCACCTTGGCTTTGAGTTTTCTTCCTTCTCTCCCCTGCAGAAAGGAAAACAAATGCAGTGTCACTGGCTTCAGAGCATTTCCTACCTCAGTTAGTTACACGGACACTTAATTCTGGCTCTCATCCATTATTCACTGGGATGGCTCAAGGAACTCATGGAGCATTAATGGAATAGGTTTACTCAAAGGCAGCAAACCCAGCCCAGCAGTAACACAACCCGTTACCATCAATGTCCAAGGAGCAGAATTATGCATGCTGGGGTAGGGCCCACTTGAGACACATGAGCAAGGCTGGGCTTTGAGATGCTATGAAACAAAAGAACCCCCCAAGCTGCTCCACAGCTCAAGAGTTTAAAGCAAACCTCATAAAAAACAGAATCAAAGCCTACAATTGCTGTATTAAATCACCCCCTCAGGCTGCTGCTGTTTGCATCAAGGACCAGACCTTTCAAGGGAAGGGAAAGAAAAGCTCACCCAGCAACACTGGGAGTAGCTGGGGCCAGGATGGGAAACCAGACTTTGGAGGGATGGAGCCGTTATTGCAAGTGGCTGTATTCAAAGTCTTGGTCATTTAGTGCTCAGTGCCTTGACCCACAGCACTGGGGTGTTATTTCCAAGTGCAAACTCACTTCAAGCCACCAGCTCCAGCTTTCCCTGCCCAATGCTCTCCTGTGGGGCCTTTCTCTCTTCTAGCAAAGGCTGAGTAAACAAGTGTCCTCAGGCTTCCAGATCAGGAGGGATTTTGGCCTGGAACAGGCAGGGTGTCATACAAAGAAGGGGAAGGCTGCCTTTAAAATGGATACACAGGGATATGCCTGAGCAAGAGCCACCAGGGTGCTTTACCACCTCCCTCAGCACAGCTCCAGCTCCAGCTCCTGACAGGGTGTCCAGGTTGGCCACCAGCCTCTGGTGGCCTCTTTTTAGGAAGAACGCAGAAAAGCCCCTCAAACTGGAAAGTTTAATGTGCCAAAGCAGAAGGAGGCACCCAGAAGTCACTGAAGGTCCAGCAGTCAGATGGAATAAGCCGTTTAATTAGATGTAAAGCACCTGCAAGAGAAGCAGCACTGTGTACTCCAGGTACTGGTATCATGCCTGGAACACGGACTGGTGCAAACGTCCCAGCTCTAAAGCTCAGGGGTGATGAACAATGTAACCCAGAGAAGCTGCTGGCAGGGTGAGCACAGCAAGGCTGCAGGTGTGGTTGTGGCCTTGAATAATTCAGGAGCCACATAAGGAGAGGATACACGAGTACTAAGGACCTAAGGGAAGGGAGCAAGCCAGTTCAGAACTGTTATTTATAGCTAGAAAAGATTCTTTTACCCATTTATTACACAAAGGGACCTGTCCTCCACTGCAGCCAGCTCAGCATCACACAGCTCCTGCTGAGACACATCTGACAGAGCAGAGATTCCAGGGTAATGCTCTGCTGCCATTTCCAAAGAGGAGAGAGCCACTTGGCCAAGGGGAAACAGGCACACGTAGGGCACGGAGGCTTCCTCCTGCCCTATTGGCTGCGGGGGACCTCTGGTGACTCCTCTCCTCCAGGGTGAGCTACTCTCTGCTCTCTGGCATTTACACCCTAGCTGCTATTTGCAGGCAGGAAGTAAGCTGGCACCAATCCTCAGGTGTCACAAGACCTGTAAAATCTACACACTCAGGTTTCCCCTGTGGCCTCTCACATCCACGTCTGCTCTGCACCATCTGCAGGGCTTCAAAGCAGCAGCTCTGAGCCTCCTGCTCCCTAAGCCCAAAGCCCCAGGGGCCTGAAGCTGTCAGCTTTGTAGAGAGTTCTCAGGTTGGGCCAATCCAAACTAATGCTTTATGCATCACCTTCAAAGTCCTGATGAAAGAGAGGTTTGGATTTGTCCAAGTGGAACATACCTGTAAGAAAACTGGAAAGGATATGAATGATCTTCTGCCTCAATATTGCTGCACTTACAGCAGCAAAGGGGGTGATTCCTTTAGCTGGACACTTCTGTTCTTGTTCCCCAGGATTTATGTGTTGAAACAGGAGTTTCCAGTCTTGCAGAGAACTGACAGGGCAACTCAGAAGAGCTTTAGTGAGGCAGAAAGAAACCAAGGTCCCACACGCATGGCTTTGAAAGCAAGTCGTCAACTGAAGCAGGAGCACTGCTCATCAGTGCAACAGCCTGAGGAAGGCTGGAAAGCACTCTGCTCCTTATAGGGCAGAAGGGAAAAGCAATGCACAGAGATGATTCAGTTGCAAAGTGAGTGGGGTATAACCAACCTGGAGCATGGCCAAGTGCTCACCAGGCTCTCTGAGGCACTCCAGAGCTTTGAGATGAGATCAAACACACTCCTCCCATCAGAGTTCAGTACTGGGTACCTGGTACCACACAGAGGTCCTCCAAAGCGGGGAGAACAGTCACTTGCCCTGTTTTGCATTGGATGTGAACAAGAGCTGCTGCTCACAGCTCAGTAATTCCACGCTGAATCAGAGGAGAGGGAAGAGAAAGTCACCACTCACCCGCCTGCGCCACCACTGAGAGCTGCAGCCCCACAGCCTCTGAGCACAGCTACAGGGAATGAGGGGGACAGAAACCACGTGCCAAGGGGGTACTGCTCCCTCCTGCACCATCTGCACCCTTCCAGCACTACTTACCCTACACTTAACTGGAATCTTTCCCCAGATCCTGCACACACAAGGTCTTCTTGCTCCTGTATCACCCACACATTCTCTTTTCACCATTCTCACTGAGTTTGGGAAGGAGATTGGAAATCTGGCTGCAGCCCAGCTAGTGAGATCTTCCCATGTGTCCCCAAGGTCACCGAGAGAAGGTCTGACTGCTCCAGCAGATGTAATGATTTGTCACCCTTCCAAGGAGCTTCCCCAGGACACACACCCACGAACCTGCGGCTGTTCCACCACCAGACACACTTTAGGTGTCTCTCTGCACAGAGAAAACCCTGCTGGGATCAGGCTGCTGAGGAGCATGGTGCTGAGCTGGAGGATCTGACCCTTCACAGGGGGAGCGGGAAGGGCCAGGAAAGATGAAAACACCCAAGTGTTGAAAGGAAAGCAGTTACCCAGGTTAAAATTCCAGCAAGGAAGATGCAGATCCTGTGCTTTCCAGCTGGAGCTCTGCAGGGAAGGTGCCAGAGGAGGAATCACACATTGCAGAGCTCAGATGTTCCTTTATGCATCACAGAGTCAGCAAATGAGCATCGTCCCCTGGTAGCAGGGCTCAGCTCCGGAGGCTGCTCTCAGAGCAAGGGGGTGGTGGCATTTAAAGAGACCCCAAATGCAGAGTTTGGCCTCAGCACATTCCAAAGGCTTCCAGCCCCTGCTGCCCTTTGGCAGTGCAGGAATCCTGGGGGCGCAGCGTTACCGCCATCGCCTGGAGAGCGGGGGAAGCGCTGGAAGAGGTGGGAAGAGCTGCTGGGAGCATCCTCCTCCACACAGCACCATCCCTTCCCCGGGGGCGGTAGCTGAGCCCCTGCTGCAGCACACGGCCAGCAGCACTATTCCCAAGCCAGCACCACCTGCACAGCAGTTACTCCTCCACGGAAGCCTGACTTCTGTGAACAGTTTGGTTTCTACCCTCTCCAGGATGGGGATGGAAAGTCATTTACAATCCACATCCCATCCCTGCAATGAGGCACAGGTGGCTTCTTCCATTCTCCAAGGAGATGCTCCACTTGGATGGCACTGGAGAAGCAGCTGAGGAAGACACATATCATTCGTACGTTGGCTACTTGCTCAGCCACACAAAGGCCCAGCTTAGGCAGGAAGAGCTCCTGTGTAGGTGCCATAGACACAGAGCCTTTCTGGCAGGAGAACTTCCTGTATCCAAGCAGAGAATACCACTGCTGTGAGGGATTTGTGGGAAGCCAACACGCTAAACGAATGCTCAGGTGAAATTCAGACATAAAAGACCATGGCTGTGCTGATGCATGGAGAAGGGTGGATGATGTCCTGAGTGCAAACTGCCCCACCGGCTTCTCTAAAGCCCAGTCTGGGGCTCTGGGATGGAGCCTGGTTTCCCAGTTAGCAATTCCAGGTCCTGACACAGGCCCCTCTCCAGCCTGCACACTCCTGCCCTGCAGGAGGCTGCTTTGGAAGCCCAGTCACTGTTGGCCAGGTCTTAAGGAGAGCAGTAAGAAGTCCTTGTTCCAGGAAGTAATTAGGCAGTGTTCCAGGATCGGGATGGGGCCCAGCACACAGGACTCTGAATGCCAAGACACACGTTAGGGGTGAACTCATGGGATCACACTGGCCTCCTGCTGCCCAGCCCGTCTGTACCAACACTGGCGCAGTTCAGAGCAGCACAAACCCAGTAACCCCCCAAACCCCATTTATGTGGTCAGTAGAAGCCCTGTCTCCGTAAGGGGAAAGGAATCACTTCGCAAGAGGCAGCAAAGTCATCACAACAGTTGTTTCCACCCAACCAGAAGGTGGGTTTATCTAACACTGATGCAGGACAACATTAAACCCTAAAGAAGCCAGGAAAGAACATGGAAGTGTTCTGTTACTGAACATGGAGGCTAACAGGGGAAGCAAGCTGGTAAGAGCAAACTGGAGAGAACCCTTCAAGTGAAATGTGTCCTGATGTAACACAAAGTGAGGAAGGAAAACAAAAAGCTTTGGAACCTTTAACTCTGCTGATTTCTTCTTCCTTCTAGAAGAGTCAAAGACCAGTTAAGAAAGGAAAAGAAAACCAAGCTCAAGAACTGCTTGGTCAAGAATCAAGCCCCCAGGCAAAGTTCCTGATCTTTTCCTGAGTTCAGTTTTAAGTCATTCCAACAATAAAGCTTTTCCTGCCTCCCTTGGGAAGCATTAAGATCCACCACATTTTGGAATTACACAGCAGAGCTTACACTTACTCCCACACTTGGCTTGTTTTAGCTCCCAGAGGAGCCACTAGTGCCAGCTCTTCTACCCAAAACTAAGCTGAGGACAATATGCAGGGACAGCAGAGGAGAAGCAACCCCTCCTAAGCAAGCCTGGAGCTCCCTTTCTCCCTGCCCAGCCATTCACCTTCCTCTGTTCCTTCCTCATCACGTGTTTGTCTTCATCCTTCCAGTAGGCATCTTCCAGCTCCTGCTGCCGTTTGGCATCGGCTGCTGCCTTTGCCTCAGCCTTCCTCACGCGGGCAGCAGCCGACTTGGTGTTTTCCCCTTGGAACTTCTTGGGCATCACTCAAGGTGATCTGCAGAGGAGAGCAAACGGTTCAGATCCTTGCCCTATAGGTTTGGGTTCATTGTCACCCTGTGAAGCCTGCAGGTCACCAGGAAAACCCCTTATTGCCTCACACTGGAGCTCCTGGGCAACCTCCCAGCTCATCCAGGAGGAATCCTGCTCACTCCATCTCACATCCTCAGCAGGGGACAGCCCCTCCTGCCTGTTTATTGTGCTGCACCCTGACAAACAGCACAGACTGTGTCAGCCCCTCTGCCTGACTGTGCACACACAGCCCCGTGGCCCTGTTTCACAGTCACCTCCCCTGGGTCACCCAGGGAGGAAGAGTCCAACAGGAGCATCGCAATCAACCAGACACCAATAAAGGCCCTTCCCAGGCCGCTGCCCATCCGGGCACTGCGCTCTGGATCTTAAATCTTCACTTTCAATGGCAAACCCCGACCTGCTGAACAAGAAGCCCCAGAGAAGGGCTCTAGGTAAGGCTGGCAGCTCTAGCCTCAAGCTTTTAAGAGCCCGGCCTGGATCAAATCCCTTCTCCCACCCACTCCTGCTCTGGCCCTTCCTGAAGGGCACGGGCCGCAGCACCCACCGGCCCTGCCCACTGCCCACCCCGGCCTCGGCTGCCTTTGTTGGGGACACGGAAGCCCTCCCTGCCTCCCCAGACCCGCGTCCTTCCCGCCGCCCCTCTGCGGCCCTTCCCCTTTCCCCTCTCCCCTCAGCCCCGCTCCCAGCCCTCCCTCAGGGCTCCCCTCGACCTCCCCTCTCCCCCTCTCCCCCTCCGCATCCCCGGCCTTGCCCAGCCCCTCACACCGGCCCCAAGGCGAGGCCTGGCCTAGCCCCGCCGCCCGGGACCCCTCCTACCCTGGCCTCGCCGGCTCCGGCCGTCGCGCGTGTGCAACGTCACCGCCGCGCGCTGTCGCTCCCGCGGGAGGGGCGGGGCGGGGCGAGCGGCGCCAGCGGTTCCTTGGGGGGGGGGGGGGGAGCATCACGTCGCCGCCGCCATCTTTGCTGAGGGCGCCGTCCCTTCTAGACAAGGCCCGGGGGCGTCAGGGCCCGGGCGGCACAGACGGAGCGGCAGCGCCCACAGCGCGGCGTGAAGGCGGGGAAAGAGCCCGTCCGTCGACCGCCGCCGGCTCTGCCCGGCACAAAGATGGCGCCACCCTCCGAGCGGCTCCTGCGGCGGCGGTGGGTGGGGCTAGGCGGGGCGGGTTGTCGCACGATGGGCGGGGCTTGGCGGGGCGCTGCCAATTGTTATCAGCGTAGGGCGTGGCTTAGCAGAGCAGGGCCCGCCCCCCACTGCTCCCATTGTACCCCATTGCCCGCCATTGACTCCTATTGCCCCCACTAGCCCCCACTTCCCCCATTCCCCCATTGTCCCCCATTACCTCCTCTTGCCCTTATTGCCCCCCCACTGCTCACATTGCCCCCCCATCCCCATAGAGGCAGCAGCTGCTCCCTGGTTTCCTGCAGCCCCCCAAGGATGGGCTCCTCCTGAAACAGCTCTTCCTTTATTGGACACTCTATCCTGTGTTATCCTACCCCTGTGATCCCCCTGCCCCACACCCTACACGTGGGTCTCCTGCAGCAGGAGGTCAGTGGTGGTGCTAGGCTCGGGAGGGCTCCAGGGGGTGCTGCCATCCCCCTCCAGTAGCACCTGAGGGGCTTCAGCCTTGCCCAGGGCCTCTTCCCCCGGGGTTCTGCTGCCTGTGGGGGCCACTGAGGACGTCTGTTTCGTGATGTCCCACCACAGCACGCCCGGGGGCAGGCGTGTCCGCTTGCTCGGCCCTGCCAGAAAGGAGGTGCTATAGGGAGGGGCTGTGTGGGGAGGACACATTGACCCCCGTGATGCTGGGTGATGTCCCTGTCTGGCCCGACTCTCACCTGACACGGAGCTGAGCAGGACCCCGGCCACCACTGTGGTGAGGGTCCCCAGTGCCCCATAGTACAGGTAGGAGATGGCATAGAAGTCAGCGACGATGGCTGGGCTGTGAGGGAGCAGCAGAGGCAGCCATGTGACATCACAGAGAACAGGGACAGGAGTGTGATGTCACAAGGAACAGCACAGTGTGATGTCACAGAGAACAGGGACAGGAGTGTGATGTCACAAGGAGAGCAGTGTGATGTCACAGAGAACAGGGACAGGAGTGTGATGTCACAAGGAACAGCACGGTGTGATGTCACAGAGAACAGGGACAGGAGTGTGATGTCACAAGGAACAGCACGGTGTGATGTCACAGTGAACAGGGACAGGAGTGTGATGTCACAAGGAACAGCATGGTGTGACGTCACAGAGAGCATGTAAAGTGGTGTGCAGTCACAGTGAACAGAGAGGTGTGACGTCACAGTGAGCAGGAAAAGCAAAGGGCACAAAGTGACATCAGAGGAAGCCTCCCCCCAAGCCCCCCACTCACCGTGCTGGCGCCGTGGGTTCCTCGGGGGGGAGCAGCGGTCCCAGCACCAAGGTGCTGTTGGTGCCAGCGGTGCGGTTGTAGAGGGGGCAGAGGGCTCCGGAGGCTGGCAGCACCCCCATGGTCGCAGCGCTGGGGGGGTACAGGGTGCCCCCCACGGCCACCCACAAGGAGAGGGCCAGGCCAACGGCCAGGCCCCCCATCACGCCCTGCGCAGAGCAGGAGGGTCCGCACGGCCCGGAGCGGGGGGCAGCGGGACCCTCAGGAAACCCCAACCAACACTCACGGCTGTAGAGCACATGGGCAGGAACATGCCCAGGATGAAGGCACCCAGCAGCGGGCCGCTGATCACCCCCATGACTGTGAAGGAGCCCTGAAAGGGGGGTGAGAACAAGGCCCCAGTGCCCCAGGTGGAGGGTGGTGAGGGGGAGGAGGAGGAGTGGGAGGATGACGACGATGAAGTAGAGAAGGAGGAAGAGGAAAAGGAAAAGAAGGAGGCGGAGGAGAGGAGTGTGACATCAAAAAAGCAGTGTGACGTCACAGGGAACAAAACGGTGCCGTCACACACAAGGAGGACAAACAGGAGAAAAAGGAGGAAGAGGAGGAGGAGAAAGGAGGAGAAGGAGAAAGAGGAAAACAAAGAGAAGAAACAGGAGGAAAAGGAGGGAGGAGGAGAATGAGGAGGGTGGGAAGAGGGAGGAGGAGGAAGAGGAAGAAAAAGAGGAGAAGGAGGATGATGATGGCGAGGACAAGGAGGAGAAGTAGGGCGCTTGGCTGTGCCCCAGGCCCTGGCCAGCTCCAGGGCTCTTGGGCAGCCGGTGGCGCGTGGCCAGGGCAGGGGGCTCTTAGCTGGACGTGGTTCTGCTCTGCAAGGCTCACCTGCAGCACACCCCCCCCCAGCAGCGAGGCCAGAGCAGCCACCGTGATGCACGAGGTGCCATAGATGAGCGCTGTGGGGAGAGGGGGCAGCTCAGCACCGCTGGCATGCACAGCATGGCATGACATGGCACAGCACGAAGCAGCATGGCATTACACAGCATGACATGGTATGGAATGGCACAGCATGGCATTGCATAGCATGGCACCATGGAATGGCACAGCATGACATTGCATAGCATGGTACCATGGTGTGGCACCATGGCATAGCACAAACCAGTGCGGTGCAGTACAGGACAGTGGTAGCATGGCATGGCATGACAGTGCGGAATGACATGGCACAGCACAGCTCAGGGCAGCACAGCATGGCATGGCACGGGATAAGGTAGCATGGCACCATGATGTACACCACGGTATGGCACAAAGCAGTGCGGTGCAGGTGGCACAGCCTGGCAGCACTCACACAGCCCCTTGGAGATAAGGGTCAGCCGCCGCGGTGCCAGCGCAGGCAGCCTGGGCTTGATGAGGTCCTCGACAGTGACGGCGGCCATGGCGTTGATGCTGGTGGAGGCCGTGCTGTGGGGCGGGCAGTGCTCAGCCCCAGCAGCCAGCAGGAGCCCCTTCCCACAGGAAGCTTTGGGGTCCCCTTGGGGAGAGAGGTGCCCCATCCTCACCTCAGAGTCCCACTGTAGGCACAGGCCAGGAACAGCCCGGGCACCCCTGGGGTTGTCTTGAAGATGTCAAGCACCAGGTAGGGCATGTACTATGAGGGAAGAGGTTGCATTGAGGGGGCAGTCCCTTTCACCCAGTCCCTGGGTCTGTCCCTTTCACCCTTCCACTTCGCTGCCCTCCATGTGCAGCTCAAGAGGGCAGAGCTGGTACCTGGTCGGGGGCTGAGATGTAGCCAGCAAGGAGGGGATCGCAGTCCTTGTAGAGTGCAAACATCACAAGGCCACAGGCCACTGCACTGGAGACGATGCAGAAGAGCCCCACTTGATTGACCAGCAGTGCCCTGTGAGCAGGGGGAGGGAGAAACCTCACTGAGAGGAGACCTGCAGCATGTGGGGTCCATGCAAGGGTGCACGGGCCATGCAGTCACACAAGGGCAATGCAGGGGTGCAGGGTCAATGCAAGCTTGTCAGGTCCACACAAGGGTATAAGGTTCATGCAGGGTCCATGCAGGGTTGCAAGGGCCATACAGGGATTCAGGCACTGGGCTTCCTGAGTGGACAGGCTGGATGTGGCCATTGCAGCCATCACCCTCACTCAGAGCAGCCCCTTGCCACCATGCACTATCCCATGCAGAGCAGGATCCAGCCCATCCCTGCATCCCCATGGACTCACATCCTGGCCTCCCTCTCGGTCCTGCAGGCCACATAGCGCTGGACCTGGGCCTGGTTGACACCGTACATGGACAGCCAGACCAGCGTGCCTCCCACCAGGAAGGTCCACACCGTGTACCGGCTCCGTGGGTCGGGGTTGAAGCTGGGCACCGGGATTTGGGGTGAGCTGGGGCTGGCGCTGGCCCCCACTCACACCCCGGCACCCCACAGGCTGGGGGGGACTCACTCTGCCAGGTTCACCCTGGAGCCATTGGAAGCAATGGCCAGCACCATGGTGGGGCCCCCCACCAGCAGCACCCCTCGGATGATGATGGCGAGGAAGCCAGAGAGCATCACGAAGACCTGGAAGACGTCTGTCCAGACGACAGCCTTCATCCCACCCTGCACAAGACAGAGCTATAGTGACCCCAGGGAACAAAGGCTCCCCCAGGGCCCTCCACTCCCTCCCTCACTATGGTGGTGTAGAAGGTGCAGATGGCTCCGGTGGAGAGCAGGGACGCCCAGATGTCCAGGCCGGTCACTGGAGGAGAAGAGAAGGTGCTGAGCAGAGCCCTGGGGTGCAAAGACAAGGCTGAGATGTCCCCAGTGCAGGGATGGGGACATGAAGGGGATCACACCTTGGTTAAGGATCAGGGCTGGGGCATAGATGACGATCCCTGTGTACAGCATCTGTGGGAAGAGGAGGGTCAGCGCTGCATCCCACTGGCACCATGGGGATGGGGATGGAGCATGGTGGTGCTGAGAAAACACTGAGGTTTTCATTTCAAACACAGCTCCTGCTGGGGTCTATTTGCTTTGAGCCACAGAAAACAAGAGCTCAGGAATGTAAAGGCTTCCTGGGGGACTCGGGACAGCACCAGCACAGCCGGATCCGAGTCCCTACCATGTGCCATGCCCCACTGTCACCATCCCACCCATGCACCGTGGACACGCACCGTGGCCATCACGTACTGCAGGGTCCCGCAGAGCCGCACACTCCTGCTGAAGCGCCGCTCCAGGTACTGGGGACAAGGAGAAGGGACGGTGATGGGTCCATCCCAGGGGCTGGGTGCATCCCTGTGCCCCTCCACCTTGCTGTGCCCACCTCATAGGTGCTGGTGAGCCCCAGGCGGTAGAAGACAGGGAGGAAGAGCTTTGCAGTGAGCAGTGTGTTGAGGAGCTGCCCCAGGCACATCCAGAGGAACTTGGCTCCGTACCGGTGCACCTCGGCCGGCACCCCCAGCACTTGGATGGCTGACATGAAGCTGGCGGAGAGCGAGAGCCCCACGGGCAGTGCTGACATGCGCCGGCCCCCCGTGAAGAAATCCTCCGATGTCTTCTGGCCACCCCTGGCGAGGCCGTGGAACAGCCCGATCCCGGTGGACACCAGCAGCATCAGGGCGAACACCCCGTAGTCCCAGAGGCTGAAGGTGAGACGCTCTGGCACCCACAGCTCCAGGCTCCCTGACGGTGCCAGCGTGGCGGCTGCAGGGGGAGAGACCCCAGCCAGGGACACAGCACAGGGACACAGCACACACAGCACAGGGACACGGCACACACAGCACAGGGACACAGCACAGGGACACGGCACACACAGCACACACAGCACACACAGCACACACAGCACAGGGACACGGCACACACAGCACACACAGCACAGGGACACGGCACAGGGACACGGCACACACAGCACACACAGCACACACAGCACAGGGACACGGCACACACAGCACACAGCACACAGAGCACACACAGCACACACAACACAGGGACACAGCACAGGGACAGCACACACAGCACAGGGACACAGCACACACAACACAGGGACACGGCACAGGGACAGCACACACAGCACAGGGACACAGCACACACAGCACAGGGACACGGCACAGGGACAGCACACACAGCACAGGGACAGCACAGGGACACAGCACACACAGCACAGGGACACGGCACGGGAACACGGCACAGGGACACAGCACACACAGCACACACAGCACAGGGACACGGCACAGGGACAGCACACACAGCACAGGGACACAGCACACACAGCACACACAGCACAGGGACACGGCACACACAGCACACACAGCACACACAGCACACACAGCACAGGGACACAGCACACACAGCACACACAGCACAGGGACACGGCACACACAGCACACACAGCACAGGGACACAGCACACACAGCACACACAGCACACACAGCACAGGGACAGCACACACGGCTCAGGGACACAGCACAGGGACACGGCACAGAGACACAGCATGCACAGCTAGGCTATGCCACAGCAGCACTGGTGCATCCGAGGGCAGTGAAACTGGAGGGGGAGAAAACTCCATGTAGTTATTGAGCAGCACTCAGAAAGGACCAAGCATGCAGTGGAAGGCACGTTTGCCACCCTTTCCCATCTCAGCCCACCCGGTCCCTGTCCCAGGTCAGGTCTGTGCTGAGCAGCCGGGTGGGTGTTTGGCTGCAGAGCCCAGACTCCCGAGCTCAGCACAGGAATTGCCCTGGGTACCTCCCTTGGCAGAGCATGCAGGAGAGGAGAACAGCAGCGCCTGGTCCAGCAGCTCCAGCGCACTCCAGGCACCGGCCTCACGGCTCCCTCACCCGAAGGACGCGGAGGCTCAAGCAGGGAGCAGCAGAGCCGCAGGCAGCAGCCGGGTTATCTCCAGCCCCAGGGACAAAACAAACCCAAACTAAACCTTTACCCAGAGCCGAGCAGGGACCCGGATCCGCGCAGCCGGGGGGGAGCGGGCGCTGCCGGGGGTCCCGCTGGGTCGCTGCTGTGGTGTCCGCGGCCGTGGCGAGGGGCCGGCTGCACCTCGGGCTCCTGCAGCAGCGGGGCGGGCGCCGGGGGCAGGTTCAGGCCGTCGGGGAGGGAACCTTGGAGCGTCGGGGGGCCGCGTCCATAACCCCGGTTAACTCCCGGCGCCCCGTACCGCAGCCGCTGAGCCTGGGGGAGCGCAGGGATGGAGTCGGTTAATGGGATATGTGTCGTCAGGCGTGGGGCCGCCCGGCTTCCTCGTTCCCTGGCACAAAAGCTGCTTTGTCCCGCCCGGCACCTGGACAGGTTTTGTCCCACAGGGATTTCCCCACTTTGGGCTGAGCCCTGGGGATAAGCCTGCGGCTGGGACCGGGCGTGAGCCCCAGTGTGGGAACAGAGCCACCGCAGGGCATCACTGAGCACTGAGGCAGAGGAGAGGCCCTGGCCCCCGGGGTTTGACCCCAGCTGGTGGCCTTGTCCCCAGCCTGTGTCCCCAGGGACCCCCTTCCCTCCTCGCCCTTGGCTTTGCCTCCTTGCTGAGCTGGTTAGAGCAGCAGAAGAGAGAAAAACAGCAAGTGGTGGCTGCTGGGCCCAGCCACATCCGTCAGTGGGTACGTGCGATGCTGCACGGCACGGGGACCAGGCATGCACCAGCCCCATGGTGACCCAAAAGGCACAACAGCACCAGCAGCAGCACGGGGCCACTACTGGGGTGAAGGGGCTGAGCCCATCTCAGTGGGGCTGAGTGGAACAGGGAGGGTCCCAGCAATGGGGTGCAGTGGGTGGCAGGAAGCACCTAGTCCCTTACCCTGCACAGTGGGGTGGGACAGGATGGGGCTCCTGGCAGAGCACTGCCCACCCCTGTGGTATCCACAGCACCGGATGCTGCGGTAGGACCAGCAAAGAGCTGGGTCCACTGGGGTGCCCAGTGGGGTGCCCAGCACCAGGTGGGGTGCCCCATTTCCTGCCCCTTCACCCCCTGGCTGGTCCCTGCAAGCTGCGGTAGCTCCTTTCTGCCCCGCACCCCAAACTGCCCCCCCTTGCCAGGAAGCTGCCTGTGAGGAGGCTGTGGGCAGGAAGGAAGTCACCAAGGGGAGTTTTGACTCTCTCCTTTCCTCATAGGCTCTGAGCAGCCACTTACACAGCCCCAGAACCCTGACCAGGACCCTGACCAGGACCCCGACCCAGGAACCCTGACCCCAGAATCCCAGTCCAGGAGCCCTGATCCAGCGGCACAGCCTGGACCCGGACCCATTCCTCAGGGCCAGAGCACTCAGGAGCAGGTACCGTACCAGCCCAGGGGGCTTCATGAGGTCCATCCAGCCCGCCCGAGCACACAGATGAAGCTGAGTCCTCTCTGCCCATTCCTGGGGCGATTCAGGGCATGGGGACAAAGAGAGCAGCAGGGGGTGGTGGGGTTATCCCCATGCCTGTGAAACAGGCTGCGTGCCTCAGTTTCCCCTTCATCCTCACCAGGACAGGCTGACCCCAGCAATGGAGGTGCTGCAGGTGCAGTGGTTGGGTTTGATTTCAGGGAGGATGCAAAGGGAAATTGATGGGGAAGGGGGTGAGGTTCACAGCTGAGCTCCCCCTGTCCTTGCAGCCTCCACCATGGCCCCGCTGGGTGAGGAGACCCCCCTGATTGGGGAGCGCTCCTGCAGCCTCTCCTCTACTGAGACTGGCACCCTCCAAGTGTACCTGTACCACCGCATGCCCCCTGGTGCTGCTGGTGTCCTCACCTTCACCTTCGGAGAGTACACGGCCGAGGAGCTCTGTGTCCACGCTGCCAAAGCCTGTGGTGAGCATCAGCCCCAGTGCCACGGGTACCAGCTGTGCCTATCGGCTCCTGATGCTGTGGGTACCGGCTCTACCTGTCCCCTGGGAGGGTCGTGGCACTGTTCCCGTTCCCAGGTGTGCTGCCCATTTGCCACCCGCTCTTCTCCCTGGCCACCGAGGACCTGAGCTGCTGGTTCCCTCCCAACCACCTCTTCACTGTCAACGAGTCCTGCAGCCAGGTCGTGGTATACAGGATCAGGTACAGCCCCAGCATGGCTCTCTGGGGAGTCTCTGATGACTGATAGAGGTTGTGTGCTGTGGGAGATGTGGCGCTGAGGCCTCCTCTGCTCTCTCCATCAGATTCCTGTTCCCCAGCTGGTGTGGGCTGGGGCAGTCCCACCGTTTCCAGTTGCTGAATGACCGGGCCAGCCCTGTCCTGGACTATCCCGTCATTGATTACCTTTTTGCCCAGGTGAGACCTTTCAGGCTGGCATCCCTGTCCCCAACACCAGGGACCACAGGTGAGGTCCCGTGTGGCATCTCAGGGGTGTGATATGTGTTAACCTCAGTGCAGCAATATCCTTTACTGCTCAGAGCCATGCCACCCTCCTCCTCTTCCTCCTCCTCCTCCAGCACCCACCACAATGCCTGTGGGACATGGGTCCTCCTACTCACCTCATCTGGAGCATCCCACACTGGGTCTGGGGCACCCTAGGTTGCTGATATGGGGGTCACAGTGTCCCATGGGGGGGTGCATGCCCCAGGACAGAGCCACCTCCTGGGCAGCAGCAGGAACCCAGAGCCTGGAGCAGGATGTGATGTGCTTGGGGTACATCAAGTGTAGGGTGGGGGGGCTGGCACAGGGAACCCCCTCCAGCTCCTTGCCCTCCCCAGTCCCGCAGTGACTTTATTGGGGGCCGCATGGCCATGGTGCTGAGCCTGCCCGAGCAGGAGGAGTGCCTGGGCCTGGCTGTGCTGGACATGCTGCGCATCGCCAAGGAGAAGCACCAGAGCCCCAGTGAGGTCTTCAGCCATGTCAGGTGAGCTGGGGGCTGTGGGGACAGCCCAGAACCTGTAACAACAGCTCAGCACTCATGGGGACAGCCTGGAGCTCAAGGGAACAGCCCGGCACCCATGGGGACGGAGCAGCACCTATTGGGACAGCCTGGCACCCACCACTGCCTCACCACCCCACCCCTGCAGCTACAAGTCCTGCATCCCGGCAGCACTGCGGTGCCAGATCCAGCAGCACAGCTTCCTCACCCGCAAGCGCATCCGGCACCGCTTCAGCAAATCCCTGCGGAAGCTCGGGGGCTGCCAGCCTGACGGGTGCTGCCTGAAGCTCAAGTACCTGCTGGACCTGGAGCGGCTGCAGCGGTGCTGGGCCGAGGAGAGCTTCCTTGTGCGCGCTACCGGCTCTACCGCAGACATCACCGTCCATGTGGCCGGTGGAAACGGCATCTCCTGGAGCTGCAGTGGCTCCGAGGTGCGGGTGGAACTGCCCTGGGGGGTGGGATGAGGGTGGGAATGTGGAGCCAGCGCTGGTTGTGTCCCTCAGAGCCGACAGCACTTCTGTGACTTCCCTGACATCGCCGATATCAGCATCAAGCAGGCGAGCAGGGACGGCGTCGCTGTGGAGAACCGTGTTGTCACCCTCACCAAGACAGACAACCGGGTGCTGGTGAGATGGGGGTGGGGTCTGGGGGATCCCCATGGGGCAGGGGCCGGGGGTGCTGTGGGGCTGACCCCCAGCCCTGCTGCAGGAGGTGGAGTTCCCCTCGTTGCGGGACGCACGCTCCTTCGTGGCCCTTATCGATGGCTACTACCGCCTGACGGCCGATGCCCACTACTACTTCTGCAAAGAGGTGGCCCCCCCCCGGCTCCTGGAGGACCTGGAGAACCAGTGCCATGGGCCCATCAGGTGGGTGCCGGGACCCCTCCTTTGTTAACCCTAACCCGTGGGTGGTGGAGGGAGGGGGAAGAAATCACTTGGGTTGGAGACGCCGATCCCCGTCCTGCTCACTTCTGGGTGATGCTGGGCCCACCGCAGTGCCATGGTGTAGGGGTGAGCAATGGGGGATCCTTTTGCAGCTCCGAGTTCGCTGTGAACAAGCTGAAGGCGGCCGGGAGCCGCCCGGGGCTGTTCCTGCTGCGCCGCAGCCCACAGGACTTCGAGAGCCTCCTGCTGACCGTGTGCACCGAGGTGAGAGCGGCACCAGCACCGGCACCAGCGGGGACCTGCGGCGTGCCCGGGGTCCCTGTGCCGCTGAGCCAGGCTCTCCCCCTGCAGACGCTCTCCGGCCGGGACTACAAGCGCTGCCTGATCCGCAGGGACGAGGACGGGAGCTGGGGGCTCTCGGGGGTGCCGCGGCGGTTCTGCAGCCTGCGGGAGCTGCTGGGCACCTACGGGCGCTGGGGGCTGCAGGCGGAGGGGGCCTCCATGCGCCTGGCTGCCTGCTGCCCCCCCCAGCCCAGAGGTGACCGGGGAGGGGCTGGGGCGTGATGTCACTGCATGGGTTGTGTGACGTCATGCGGCTGTGTGTCACCACCGAGGTGTCACAGAGCAGGTTAATGACATCACAGAGGGGTGTTGGATGGTGTCACAGAGCGGTCTGTGTCATCACAGAGCTGGTTGTGTGATGTCACAGGGCAGGCTGCATGATGTCATCAGGTGACATCACAGAGGGGTGTTGGATGGTGTCACAGAGCGGTCTGTGTCATCACAGAGCTGGTTGTATGATGTCACAGGGCAGGCTGCATGATGTCATCAAATGACATCACAGAGCGAGGCTATGTGATGGCAGCAGATGAGCTGTGTGACACCACAGGGCGGACTGTGGCATCATGGCGTGGGCTGTGACGTCACAGGGCAGACTGTGTGAGGTCACAGTGTGTCACAGCCGGTCCCCTCCCCCCCAGAAAAGTCGAACCTGCTGATCGTGCGCAGAAGCTGCCCCCACCCCCCCCGCTCCCCCTGCGCCCCCCACCGCAGCCTCAACCAGATGATGTTCCACAAGATCGACCCCCAGAGCCTCGTGCGGGTACGGGGGGGGGACATGAGGCACAGGTGGGATGGAGCGCATGGGCAGGGACCCCCATTACACCAGCGTCCCCTGCTCCTGCAGGGCGAGAGCCTGGGGCAGGGCTCCTTCACCCACATCTACAAGGGCATCAAGCGGGACCAGGGGGAGGACGGGTGCTACCAGACCACGGTGGTGCTCAAGGTGATGGATGGCAGGCACCATAACTGCTCTGAGGTGAGGCAGCAGCAGCCCCAGCTCCCAGCACTGGGACAGGCCCCCATGTTGCCCCCCTGAGCCAGTCTCTCCCCCATCCAGTCCTTCCTGGAGGCCGCCAGCATCATGAGCCAGCTCTCGCACAAACATCTGGTCTTGCTGCACGGCGTCAGCCTTGGGAAGGACAGTGAGTGCTGGGGTGATGCACAGGAGCCTGGGGACATGAATGTGCTGGACCTGCCTGTGCTGTCCCCCCCAGGTATCATGGTGCAGGAGTACGTCAGGTATGGACCGCTGGATCTCTACCTGAAGAAGAATCAAGGTGAGGGCAAGGTGACGACGAGCTGGAAGCTGCAGGTGGCCAAGCAGCTGGCGTATGCCCTCAACTACCTGGTGAGTTGCATCCATGTGTCCTGCAGCTCCTGTGGGCCAGCTCTCCCAAGTCCTTATCCCATGGCTCTCTCATGTCTTTATCCCATGGCTCTTCCATGTCCTTATCCAGTGGCTTTCCCATGTCCTTATCCCATGGCTCTCCTGTGCTCTCATCCCACGGCTCTCCCGTGTCCTCATCCCACAGCTCTCCCGTGCTCTCATCCCACGGCTCTCCCGTGTCCTCATCCCATGGCTCTCCCATGTCCTTATCGCATGGCTTTCCTGTGTCCTTATCCGATGGCTCTCCTGTTTCCTTATCCCATGGCTCCCATGCATCTATGCCCCATAGCCCTCATGGGCCCACATCCCACAGCTCCCATGCATCCATGTCCTACAACACCCATGAATCTATGTCCCATAGCCACCATGCATCCGTGTCTAGCAGCACCCATGCATCCATGTCCCACAGCATCCATGCATATGTCACACAGCACCCATGCGTCCATGTCCCACAGCTCCTATGCATCCATGTCCCACAGCACCCATGCATCTGTGTCGCACAGCATCCATGCATCCATGTCCTGCAGCTCCAGCACATCCATGTCCCATAGCTCCTGTGCATTTGCATCCTTCGGCATCCATGCAACCGTGTCCCATAGGTCCTACACACCCATGTGCATCCACGTCCCCACAGTTCCCACACATCCCCATTGGGTCACCCTGGCTGGACCAGCTCAGCCCCATGCATGGGGCTGCCCCATGGGCTGGGGCTGCACTGATGATCCTGATCCTTCTCCCCTCCACAGGAGGACAAGAAAATCACGCATGGCAACATCTCAGCTAAGAAGGTGCTGCTGGCACGGGAGGGGGACGTGGCCAGCGGCAGCCTCCCCTTCATCAAACTCAATGACCCTGGAGTCAGCGTCTCCATCCTG